CTCTGTGTAAATTTGGAAAATTTTCCTGATGCCTAAATCAGTGGGCTACAGTGAGCTAAACTTTTGCTTACTTTTTCCTTGGACAGGTTGTTAGTTATGCACAATGTGAAGCTAACCACACTGTGTGCACTGGCGCTATACACAGAGTAACAGATCGCAGATAGCCATCCTTTTCTACGTGTCTAGAGGGGCCCAGTGCAAGACGTTCAAGCACAGGTAGGGCTGCCAGCTATCGCCAAGGCCTTCCACAGCTGCCAGCAGCTGGATGGCTGGAGCCTTTCTTCGCCCCCTAGCGGTCAGTGCACATAATAGCAAGTGGTTGAACTCCTGTTCTTTTGAACTCCTGAGGGTACAATTTGCATATTAGCCTTTTATTTTATAGGACAGGATTTTAGCTTTCAAAACTGTTCATGCAGTGAGCAGACCAAACAGTGTCAGTGCCTCAGTGTCAAATTCAAGAGCTTCTCCCGTTTGACACCTGCCTAACCCCAGCAGGCCTACCCCTGCCCTCTTGGAATGTGACACATAATTTTAAGCATTGCTTTCCTTCTCCGTCTCCTTCATCAGACCTTGGGCATCTTGTGCAGGCCTGTGTGTCACCTTTATCCTCATCACTCAGCCAGTGCTTGGCCTAGAGCAGGCCAGTGAGTATTTGTTAGCTGAATGACTAATATAAGTGGTTCAGAGATGGGACCAGTGCTATGTCGCCCCCCTAGATGCAATACCACCTGATGCTGCACATCCAGATGCAGCTGTGTGAGCTCTCCCTGTGGGACTGGATCGTGGAGAGGAACAGGCGGAGCCGGGAGTGTGTGGATGAGTCTGCCTGTGAGTACCGTGCAGGTGCGGGGCGTGGAGTAAAGGCAGGAGGGCCCGCCGCCTCCTGCTGCCAGGCCTTTAGATGGAAAAAAATCTGTTTTAAACCAAAACAACAATTATGCTTATTTCAGCATTTTTCGAAAACAAATAGTAATTGGAAATTAATTTTCTCTGATTGATATTTAAGCAGTAATGTGCTATCGGGTGTAGTAATAATTAATGTCGTTTTTAAACATTCGTTTAAAATCTTGCTTGGCGTTGACTTGTATTGACATAACCTTCAAACACGTGGTATCTACAGAATGTGTGAAGTGCAATTAATAAGTTTTGCTTGAAAAAGTTTGTGTTTGGTTTGGTTTTTGTTGCAAAACTAGGGCTAAGAAGATGGCGGATGAAGAGCATATTTGGCACTGCATGCTTTACGAGTTCCAATTAGGAAGAAAAGCAAGTGAGGCTGCAAAAAACATCTGTAGTGCTCTTGGTCAAGATGCAGTTAGCGCCAGAAAATGCCAGCGTTGGTTTGAGAAATTTCGCGAGGGAAATTTTTCGTTAGATGACAAGAGTGGTGGAGGCCGTGTGTCCAATTTTGATCAAGAAGCTCTTCAAGCTCTTTTGATGCAAAATCCTCAAATTACCCAACAAGAGCTTGCGACAACTTTAAATTGTTCACAAAAAACAATTTCCAATCAATTGTGTGCACTTGGCAAAGTCCAAAAGTTTGGAAAATGGGTTCCTCATGAGTTGACCGACGACAACCGTAATCAAAGAGTCACAATTTGCAGTTCGCTCCTCTCTCGTCAAAACCATTTGCCGTTTTTAGAGCAAATTGTTACCGGAGATGAACAATGGGTGCTGTATGTTAATTTGAAAAGGCGGCCTCAATGGTTGGACAAAAATGAGTCTCCGCAGCCCACGCCAAAACCTGACTTGCATGCGAAAAAAGTGATGTGTGTTTGGTGGAATTTTAAAGGAATTCTTCATTATGAACTTTTACCATCTAACCAAACCATTACAAGTGCAGTGTATAGTGCCTAATTGGAAAGGTTAGCCCAAGCTTTAAGAGAAAAAGAACCCGCGCTGATTAATCGGAAGGGCGTAATTCTTCACCACGATAACGCACGACCGCATACTGCAAGAATCACTGCTGAAAAATTGCGCCAGTTGGAATGGGAAGTTCTCCCTCAGCCTGCATATTCTCCTGATATTGCCCCTTCCGATTACCATTTGTTTCGTTCTTTGCAAAACTTTCTTCTTGGAAAAAAAATTTAATAATGAAGAATACCTCAAAAATGCATTGACCAAATTTTTTGCATCATAATCACAAGAATTTTATAACAGAGGGATTAAAATGCTTCCTGAGCGTTGGGCACAAGTAGTAGAAAACAACGGCAACTATATTGTTGATTAAATTTTGTTGTATTGTTTAAATAAATTCGATTTAAAAGTATTAGAAAACGACATTAATTATTACTAGACCTAATAGAATTTAGGAAACTGATTTAGGGTGGAAAATATTTTTTAAAAACTTAAGGAAAAAATTTAAATACTTGTTCTTATTTTTTTTAACCTGAAAACGTGGTATTCTTACTAAAAGAAACTGTGAAAGAAACCATTATAGGAAGGCATGTGATCAAGTTTGTCTCCCTCAAGCTCCAGATCTCCCTCTCTCTCCTGCAGCTGTATATTCCCTAGAAATGCTGTATTATAGAAATATTTGTGTGTATATATATCTTCTTACCCAATGGTATGTCTTTATTGATTGTAGAGAGAGGAAGGGAGAGGGAGAGAAGGAAGACGGATATGAGAGAGAAACATCAATCGGTTGCCTCCTATACACACCCTGACTGGGGATTGAACCTGCAACCAAGGGTGCATGCTCTGACCGGCAATGTAACCCTCGACCTTTGGTGTATGGTATGACACTCGAGCCAACTGAGCCATACCAGCCAAGGAGTCAGATTAATACATATATTTTTAAAATATATATATACATATATATATTGTATATATATATATATAAATATATATATATATATATATATTATTATTTTCAGAGAGGAAGGGAGAATGGGAGAGAGAGAGAAACATCAGTGATGAGAGAGTATCATTGATCAGCTGTTTCTTGCACACCCCCTGCTGGGGATCAAGCCCGAAACCCGGGCATGTGCCCTGACCTGGAATTGAACCGGTGACCACCTGGTGCATGGGCCGATGCGTAACTATTGAGCCACACTGGCCGGGCTAGCAGGCTAATTTTTAAGTAGATAATTTTGTATGGCCCTTGAATGATGTTATAAATATCCACATGGCCCTTGGCAGAAAAAAGTTTCCTCACTCTTATCTAGTGGAACCATTGCTTTCACACACACACAGATCCCAAAATTGTGTGCTAGGAAGCATAAAGGAGGGGTGGAGTAGGTGTGAGCTGTTGATAACAAAGCAGGCTCATTTGGGGTGGAGAAAGGGGCCCACTGTGTTCTTTTTTTTTTTTTAAATATATACATATTTAAAATCAATATATATTATTGATTTTTTACAGAGAGGAAGGGAGAGGGATAGAGAGCTAGAAACATCAATAAGAGAGAAACATCAATCAGCTGCCTCCTGCACACCCCCCACTGGGGATGTGCCCAAAACCAAGGTACTGGTACATGCCCTTGACTGGAATTGAACCCAGGACCCTTCACTCTGCAGGCCAATGCTCCATCCACTGAGCCAAACTGGTCAGGGCAAGTGTTCTTGTACTTGAAGGTCAGCAATAGGTTGAGGATTTAAAATGACTTGAATACAGAAGAACTAGTAAGTTCCCACTATATTATTAAACTTCTTGGCTGGAAACGTCAGGATTTTTTTTTCTTATCAATTTTTTATTTTATTTTTAGTCTTACAAACCTCTCCATCCTCTAAATTCATACACTCTGTCATCATATTAAAGAGGAATTATTCAGTCATTCACTTTTTCTCCATATACTTCATTTGTCTGCCATTTTCAAAATGTGCATTCTAAATACGGATGATGAAGCTCACCCCTTGCAGTGAACAGAATTTACCCTCTTACTTTATTCTGTGTAATAGGACCTGCAGACCCAGTGGGCTAGGACACCAGATTCCTAGGGTGAGGGGGTCTCCCACGTGATTTAGTGTGGCCGCCTAGTGCCTGGGAACTGCTTGCTCTGAGTGAGCTGGGAGGTCTCTTTCTGGGGATAGACGGTTGAGGTAGGCGCTAGTTTTCGATGGCATCCTGAGGAGCCCTCTAGGAACCATTCTTTGGAGCATTGACTTAGTTGAAAATCTGAAGGTGTCAGATGTTAATGTGTTTAGACAATTGACATTTAGATATTAATGAGTAAAAAAAAATTAGAGAAATAAAACTTTTTTTTTTAACTTCAGGTCCTTATGTGATGGCCAGTGTTGCAACAAAAATTTTTCAGGAATTGGTGGAAGGTGTGTTTTACATCCACAGCATGGGGGTCGTGCACAGAGACCTGAAGGTAAGTGGCAAAGATGGAATCTTTAAGACCTCTTATCAGGGCTGACTTGGTGTGGATTCATTGAATTAAGGAGACTGCATACCCTTGCTCATTTATTCATTTATCCAGAAGGGTGCCATTAATTTCATGTAAATCGTCATTTTTTTAGGTCCAGAACATTAAAACTTGATTGAGTGTAAAAGCAGAAAACTTTGGGCATTTGAATATTCTCACTGTTTTTCCGGTAGTAAGTGTGTTCTGAGTACTGCTATAATTGGTGATACTAAGTGTATTTCATGCTGACAAAAATATTCATCCATTTAGAGGTAAAAATCTGTTTTTATGATGATTTATCTTAAAGGAAATTTAACATAGGAAATTCCATTCTGCTGTTTTCAAAATCCATAGTTACCATTCCAACATTTATCCACAAAACACTATCAAGAAAGACAGGAAATACGTTCACTTCTTTGGCTGAGAGTTTTAAATTAGGTTGCTTACCTTTTCGGCAACATTCAAAACATGGAAAATGCATTTAAAAGAATATCTAGGAACAAAGAGGTAATATGCAAATCATTTTATTTTCTGAAGAAGCTTAAGAACCAGTGGTTTGTGTGTTTGGGATGGAGGAGGCGATGGGCTATTTGCCGGGTACCTGTCTGGCCAGAACCGCGACTGGCGTTCTGGACCCCGTGGCACGTGACACAGGTCTTATTTCAAGAGGCCAGCCAGGTCGCAGCGCCCGTACACAGAGCTCCAGACTTTCTCCGGGAGCAGGCGCTTCACGCGCTGCTTGTGCCTCTCCCCGTAGATATTCCTGACGCTTCGCTTACAGATGTCCTCGAGAGAGAAGGGCTTCTGGGACAGCTTGATGAGGGATTCCCGCAGGAGGCTGAACTCGGACAGCATGAGCCCCGCGGGCAGAGTTCCCTGGCTGTTGGTCAGCCGCAGGGGGTAGGAGCGGGAGAGCAGCTTGGCGAGGAGCGCCGTGTCCCTGATGTTGGAGCTGCGCTGGAGGTACATGTGCAGGGGGGACTCGCCGTTCTTGGTGAGCGTGTTGATGTCGGCTTCAAATTCGAGCAGAAGGTCGATGACGGTCTCTCTGCCCGCGAAGCACGCCTCGTGGAGGGCCGTCTGGCCCTTGTGGTCCCGCACGTTGACCTCGGCCCCGCGCGCCAGCAGCAGGCGGATGCAGCCCAGGCCCGCCGCCAGCACGCGGCCCGCCTTGCCGGACGCCGCGCACACCGCCAGCTTCAGCGCCGTGTTCCCGGTGGCCGGAACCGCGTAGTTGACGTTGGCCCCGCAGGCGATGAGCGTCTCCATCATCTCCTTGTTGAGGATGTCCGCCGCCATGTGCAGGGGCGTCATGTTGGACTCGTTGACGGCGTTCACCTGGGCGCCGTTCTGGGCCAGGATGGACAGCACCGGGTAGGTGCCGTACCGGATGGCCAGGTGCAGCGCCGAGTGCTTGTGGCTGTTGTTCACCCGCGCGTTCACCTGAGCTCCGTGCTCGCACAGGATGCGGAGGCAGGCCACGGCGTTGTTCTGGATGTCCGCCAGCAGCCGCTGGATCCTGTTCCCCGGCTTGGTCTGCACGGTGGAGGTGATGGGCCAGTGCAGCAGCATCAGGTGGAGCGTGGTGAGGCCTCGCGTGTCCCTGGAAGAGGCAGTGAGCGCTGGTTACACTGAACACACAGTGGAGGTGGCTCTGCATGGGTTAGCGCTCAGGAAAGAGACATTTACTTAAAGTGATCCCTGCCCTTAGTCAGTTACAAAGAAGTGTTTGGAAATCTGCACTGCTGTTAGTTTCTCAGGATCTCACAACGCTTTGGGGGATGGGGTGCTTTGCATCAGTGCCCGGGGCCCCGCCTCCCCTGGCATCTTGTTGTGCTCCCTTACTCCCGCCCGGGCGGGGCCTCTGCAGGGCTGAGTCTCAGTTCCTTGCTCCCGCAGCTCCTCGGTGGGGAGCTGAGTTCTGGGAACTTGTGTGCGATTGGCTCTGCATCTGCCCCTGAGCCTGACGCTCCCGCCGTATGTGGGTGCATTAGGTCAGTGGTCGCCAGCCTTTCGGACCTCACAGACCACCCGCGGTCCACGTACCACCGGTTGCTAACCGCTGGAATAGCTGACAGGGCTGAATCTGGAGCCCCACAGCCACTCTGCTTAGTGAGGCCCATCCGTCTCTTTCCCTGCTTCCACCCGGGGGAGGCATGTTTGATAGCCGGGCCTTCGTCTACTTTTCCCTGGACTCTCAGGATTGCCTCCAAACCCCTGTGCTTCGGCGATCCTGAGAGTTCAGGGAAAAGTAGGGGGACGGGTTATGAGGAACACGATTGCTGAGCACTTAAGACTCGGGGTGCTTTAAATGGGCTGACTGTTTTGTGTTCTTGCATTTCTCCCCACTTTCTCAGAGTATCTCCTCTAATTAGTAAAGAAATTGGTTTGTTCCAAACATGATCCTTTCTAGTCCGCAACTCCTGCAGAGTGGGTGAGCCCAGACATGACTGGGAAAGCGGACCTCGAGGTCACGTGCCTCCTCCTTTAGAAATGGCCACTGCTGAGCTACTCACCGTACTTCCGGGTTAGCCCCGTGCTCCAGCAGACAGTGCAGACTCTGGGCCTTGCGGTGCTCGGCGGCCAGGTGGATGGGGATGATGGACTGCGTCTGCTTCAGCGGGAAAAACCCAAGGCCGTTACAGGTGTCCTGTGTGGTCAGAGGACACGGGCTAGCTGGCCACCCCGAGCGAACCCGCGGCTCATGTATCTCAGCGCTGTGCTTCTCTGGGACGTGCAGGCATTTCCTTCTCCCTGGCCGGTTTGCAGTGACCCAAAGCCAATGAGCTTTATGACTGTTATAAACTCTGTGTGCTAAAGGCAAAGTTACCAAGCCAACGAAATATCGATAACTCACTCCGAGCTTTGGAAGCTGATTGTGGTGAGGAGCTCATGGTGTAAAATCAATGACAATTGCTGTTAAGCCACTTCACCCTCAAACTAACCTGCAGGGGATCGACAAGTAGGTTTTGTTTTTTAAGGTTTTGCCATAGCATCAGTAGTAAAACCTACACTCCCAGGGCTCCAGAGAAAAGCAGCAAACGCTCTGTCTGTGATTAGCAGAGATGTTTATGCTGCTCTTAAAACCATATGTGTAGGTAGTGGCTTTATAGCATGGCTGCGAGATAAGAGGGCGGAGTAAAGAAGGGTCACTTTTCAAAAAGGAAATCGATTATAACGGTGGTGATTATTGTGTAATCATTTAGAAAATGCAAAGTTGTATGTAAAAGGGAAAATGATTCCATCACACGGACCCAGCGACCATGGTATGTTTGAGAGGCGATGCTACTGTCCCTCCAACCGAAGGAGCTCGCCTTCCCCTCCGCAGAGTGCTAACTGGAGGGCCGTGCCGGCTGCCGGTGAGGACAGCCAGGAGGTTTAATGAGTTCGCAGGACTCGGTGTGGCCCTTGCAGAGCATCAGGAGTCTGTCCTCGGGAAGGGACGTGGAGAGGGGTACCTGCGTCAGCAGCAGCCCGCAGCTGGTTGAATTGGCCAGGACCGTCAGGGGCTGGTTGACGGGGTGGCTGCGCAGCAGGTCCTGGATGGCCGCGCAGTCCTCTGTCATGATGGCCTCGTAGAGCCGGGCGTGGAGCACTTCGCGGGGGGCCCTCTCCGGGGACGTGGTCCCGTCAGCGGCCAGCTCCCGGCTGCCTCTCTTGACTATGTTTCCCATGAGAAACGCTTGAGCGTGAGGACCTCAGAGGCCAGGGGAAACTTGCTACGGAATAGGTCACTTCCCGAGGCCTTAGGATTCCTTCGGGCCGTTCTAGAACTGTTCTAGAATTGTGGAGAACCGTATCCATGCACACGGCTCATTTTTGTATCAGAGCCAAACTTTCTCAGACTTTGTTCCTCTCTCACATGATTTCCCATACAAGCGCAGGTTTTAGGACTTTCTACTTGATCACAAAAACAGACCCAAGTTATCGTCTCACATGTAAGATTCTATTTTCTCTTTCCATTTAGCTGTAGATTTAAAAAAAAAAAAAAAACCTAACAAAGCTAAAACACAATTGTACATTAAAATAAAAAAAATTAAAATGACTGCATTTAAAATAAGAAAACCCACCTTTAACCTAAATGTTTAGATTGTGGTGGAATTCTCCCGCCCCCAGGACAGGTGCAGAGGTTCACTGGCACAGGGTTAGTTCCACGGGGGTGTTTCGGGTCCATGGTGGTTGCTTAACTAGAGCGAAGTGTGTACCTTGACAGGGTGACTCAGTCGTCCCCGATCCTGGCTAACAGAATTATGTGGGAGCTTGAAACATTCTCTTAAACTTTTTTTTCATTAAGAACAACTGCAGTGTTGGACTTGTTGGAGAGGACAGTCCTTTTCGTTTTTATTTAAAAATATATTTTTAAATTGCTTTTTAGAGAGGAAAGAAGATAGAAACATTGAGGAGAGAGAAACGTCATTGATTGGCTGCCTCCTGCATACCCCTCCTGGAGATCAAGCCCGCAACCTGGGCATGTACCCTGACTGGGAATCGAACCGATGACCCTTTGGCTCCTGGGTCGATGCTCAGCTGCTGAGCAACACCAGTCAGGTGCAGTTTTTTAAAAAAGCTCCCCATTGCCTCTGATGTGTGGCTGAGTTTGAGAACCGCTGCTCTGATTTTTAATTCTTGAGGGGCTGCTTGCTCCTGAGTTGAAAACTCCTTAACATCCAGACATTTTTACTATTTGTTTTTAGAGCGCAAAGGAATTCACTTGTTGTGTTTGTTTCTAGCCCAGAAATATTTTTCTTCATGGCCCTGATCAGCAAGTGAAAATCGGGGACTTCGGCCTGGCGTGCACAGACATCATCCAGAACCCACACTGGGCCGGCGGGGATGGGAAGCGTAAGTGTTGGCATTTTGTTCCGTTAAAACAGTAAGGTGTCACTATTGAAAGAGAACGATGGAGATTTCATAGCGAAGTGAGGGAAAGACAGCGTGTGATTGTACCAGCGTCATGTTCCTGCACTAACTGTGCTAACTCCGCAGTATGTAATGTGTAGCTTTTCCCATTACAGGACCGACACACACTTCCAGAGTGGGCACCTGTCTGTACGCGTCTCCCGAGCAGCTGGAGGGATCTGAGTACGATGCCCAGGTAGCGTTTCCTGCTGCTCCCCCTTGCCGGCCCTCCTGGCAGTGGTGAGAACAAAGCACAGTGAGTGCAGTGGAGGCTCCAGGGAAGGCGTGCTGGGAGAGAAGCTTTGTAGTTTATCCACCCGCCCAGCGGACCGAACAGGGAACTTCATTTTGCAGCTGAGCCTGACTTCGCTTTTTAGGCTTCTTTACGGTTTCTAAATCCATGGGCATAGCGAATAGTGTCTGAAATGAGCTTCCCCTACTGAGTGTCACATGCACCCCAGAAGGTGAGAATTCAGAGGCCGCTTTTCAGCCTTCCATTTTTTATTTTAACATGTTTTATTGATTTTTTACAGAGAAGAAAGGAGAGAGATAGAGAGCGAGAAACGTCGACGAGAGAGAAAAATTGACCAGCTGCCTCTTGCACACCCCCTACCAGGGATGTGCCCGCAACCAAATGTACATTCCCTTGACTGGAATTGAACCTGGGACCTTTCAGTCCGCAGACCGACGCTCTACCACTGAGCCAAACCAGCTTCGGCTCAGCCTTCCATTCTTGTCTCCAAGCTCAAATAAGTGCTAAACAGCGCTCCGGGCCAGCGTGTCCCTTTAACTCACACTGTTCCCGAAGAAACTCCTCCTTCTCACTGTGAAACCTAATACAGGCTGTTCCTCTTAATGAAGTATTGAACTTTTTTTGTTTTGTTTTGCTAATCCTCACCAAAGGATATTTTCCACATTGATTTTTAGAGAGAGTAGAAGGGAGGGATGGAGAGAGAGCAAAACATGGGCTTGAGAGAGACCAGCGGTTGGTTGCCTCTGGCCCCGCGCCCTCTGCCCCCAGGGCCGGGAGTGAACCTGCAGCTCAGGCACCTGTTGGGAAAGAGCTGCCAGGAAAGAACCACCGTCGTTTCAGAAAGCCTGTGGTCAGGGCCTTCCTAAGACACTTACTTTCCGGAGAAGCAGCACCGAGTCTGTGTGTGCTAAGCTCTGCCAGGACCTCCCGCTGTACGGGAAGCAGGTGAGGCTGGCGAGGCCCCAGGACACGTGGCCCCAGCACGACGGAGCTCACATCTGTGTCCGGCTGGCCCAGGGGGGTGGGTGGAGTCAGGTGGATGGTATAGACTGCTGTGGTGATGGGACCACCTTGGCCTCCCCTGGCCGTCAGTCCTTTGTCCCATGAGCCCCTTTTTGGTGTTAAAGGGAGGGGCTTTGTGACAGGACTTGCCACCTCGCAGGAGAGCTGGCTGGCAGGTAATTGCCAGGAGGGAGGAGCCGGCCATTAGGTTAGAGCCTGTGAGCCATCCTTCCTGTGTGCGCCCTCCTGTTGGAGGGGACGCTGCTGACGGAGCTGAGAGCTCACCGCGAAGCTCACACTGAGCGGCCCTCCCCCTCTTGCAGTCGGACATGTACAGCCTGGGTGTGATCCTGTTGGAGCTCTTCCAGCCGTTTGGGACAGAAATGGAGCGAGCGCAGGTGCTGACGGACCTGAGAACCGGCCAGATGCCCAAGTCCCTCCGCCAGAGGTGCCCCGTCCAGGCCCGGTGCGTCCAGGAGCTGACCCGGAAGGACGCCGCCCAGAGGCCGTCGGCCGTGCAGCTGCTGCAGAGCGACCTCTTCCAGAATCCCGGGAGTGTATGTACAGGGTTTGTTCATGCCGGGGCGAGTATGGAGCTTAGGATTGGTTTAAGTGGAGTCCCGTTTCATGAAGAACACTAGACTTACAGGGAGGTCCATGGGAACAGTGTTTGAGCCCATCCTCCGAGCTGCCAGGTGCACACAGTTTGCCCAGTCTCATCTCGCCAAGCCAAAAGGTACTAGTTCTCCTTTCCAGCTCTGGTGTGTAACTTCCCTAAATGATTACAACATGCCTGCCGGTAAAAAGGGACACAGTCAAGGGTAAAATGACAGCAGTCATTCTCTAGGGTGAGGGCTGCCTGAGCCAGCCTGGGATCCTCAGCAGTCACGTGCGAGTCTGGTGCTCTGTCCTGTGCCAGCGCTGTCCTGGGCAGCCCCTCCCTCCCTCCCTCCTGCCTGACCCCTGACCCGCAGAGGGCCAGCCTCCGCTCTGCACCGTGACTCGCCCCTCCTGTTCCCGGAGGAACTTGCCGAGAGCTGAGCTTGATTCAGACCCGTTCACAGATCCCAGAGCACGCGGCTCCTCACAGCGTGGTTCTCGGACCTGCAGCAGCAGCAGCAGCATGCGGGCTCGTTAGAAACACAGGGTCTCAGTCCGCCCAGAGCTACTGAGGCAGAACCCGCCTTACACACAGTGTCCGAGCGGCACTGCGGAGAGCGGCGGTTGTGTTCGACTCCGGACCAGCAGCCTTAGACCCCAGGAGCTTGACACACTTCTCAGGCCCGAGGGAGTCCCCCCCCCCCCCCCAAGGGTAGGGGCGGGAGCTGGGGAGGGGCTGCCATCTGTGCGTCCACAGGCCCTCCGAGTGATTCTGGTGCCCACTAATTGGGAACCTGTTTTGTTGATTTATCTCCTACTCAAGGCTTATTGATTTTCAAGTAAAACTGAGTCATCATAGCTTGAGTGATAGGTGGAATGCTTTTTTGCGATTTTGAAAATGGCAATATGGTCATTAAATGCCCAATTGGAGGGGGGGTTCTAACTCCAACTTAAGGTAGCTTTTAGAGTATGTGTTTATGGTAAAGATTTCTCCTGTCTTATGGAACTTTTTTTTAATTTTTTTTTTTCTTATCAAATAACCTCTACATACCTGCACACATTACATGTCTGTGCGGCAGTCCTCACTTTGCACAGTGGAGTATGAGTGTCAGAGTGGCCAGGTAGACCATGCAGAGGCGTCGTAATAATCCAGGGGGAAGTTAGGATTATTCTGTGACTTTAAAATGTGTATCAAAGCATTGAAACTCCCTTATGGAAATGAAAACCCACCACCACCTGTGAAATGAATATTAAGTGCAGTATCATTGAGAATTCGTGTTTCAAGAGGAGTTTGAGCAATGCCCGCCTCCCTCCCTGTAACTCAGGCGACGCACTGCCCTGCTCCGGGCTGCGCTTGGCTCAGCTCCCAGCACCTGGTCTTGGGCACTTGCGATGTGAAGCGTCTTTTCGAGCTCACAGAAGGTGGGCTTTGCTGGTGTCACTCTCCGGGGCAGCGCCATCACTTCCCTCCACTGGTGCCACGTCCCTTTCCTTGTTCCGTGCTGCACCACCTGTGGCGGAGGGCAGCGTTCCCAGGGCGGCTGTCCCCCGAGTGCTTCGGGTTGACTGATTCCCACTCCCAGCGCTACCACTTCTCATTGGTCCGTGTCCTTGGCCAGTCCCCTCTGTGGCCCATTTTTGAAAACAATGCCACTTGGGTCTCCCTGGGAGAGGCAGGCAGCCTGGCTGCACACAGGCCTGTGTGAGGACTAACAGGTGCGCTGACTCTGAAGGGAAGTGACTGTCTGGATCAGGACGTCCATAGGTTAGTGTTTTGTGGATAAAACTTGTGGTAACTGACATTTGAACCACGTTGCTGGGTTACTGGCCTAATTTCTCTAAACTGATGACTGGATCCATGCGTTCTTGGACTGTGCAAAGTGAAGCCTGCTTGTGTTTAAAGGGAAAGAAGCTATTTTAATGGAGCTTCAACTTTTCCATTTCAGGTTAATCTCACCCTGCAGATGAAGATAGTAGAGCAAGAAAAAGAAATAGAAGAACTAAAGAAGCAGTTACGCCTCCTCT